TTTGCTCCTATTTAGAGCAATTTCTAATTTTTTATTTGATAGACGTAAGGAATTTGAAATTCATTTGACCAGCTTAAAAATCAGGGGAATTTGTCATTGTAACACTCAAATCTTGAGGTTTTATACTATGGAGGTTGATTTTTTTCTCTTATCTCTTTCATATTTAGAAAAATGGCACATTTGGTGACCATGTTTTCGATTTATCAACCAATTTTTCGATATGTAATTTTGATTTTTCGTGTTAGATTGTATAATAATTAAAATCAGAAGGTTAGAGTTACTTTTCTTTATTTTCTTTATAAGAAATATTTTAATTATAATTCTCCCACAATAACTTCATTAATTTATTTTTCTAGGCTATATAGGCCAAGCTAGGGGTGGGTTCGTAGAACCGAAAACCGAAAACCGAATCAAATCAAACCAAACCGTGACCAAATAAACCGAACCGGTGAAAAACCGAAACCGAACATAAAAACCCGTACCGAACCGAACATGTTTGATTTCAAATCGAACCAAAACCGAAAAAACCGAAAAAAACCGAAAAATTTATAAATATAAAAAAAATAATTTATTTTATATGGAGTATATGGCCGGTCATGTGGTCAATGCTCAAGACCGAAAGCGTAAGAGGCTTTTTACGAGTCCAGTAGTCCTGTAGTACTCCATAATCTTTTAAGCTAAAGCGTAAGAAACTTATTTTGCTGCACTATATTCAAGTTTACTGCACTTGGGACTGCATTTTATTTTGTTGCACTATATCCAAGTTTACTGCACTTGGGACTGCATTATATTTTGCTGCACTATATTCAAGTTTACTGCACTTGGGACTGCATTTTATTTTGCTGCACTATATCCAAGTTTACTGCACTTAACTTTTAAATGTCATGTACTGGTGTTTAATGCACTTTATTTAAATTGTAAGACAAGGATTGACTTTCATCATTTAAGTTTAATGCATTTGCTTTTTTCTTTTTATTTTGGGACTGCATTTTATTTTCATTTCAGTTGGGACTGCATTTTATTTTGCTGCACTATTTTCAAGTTTATTGCACTTAGCTTTTAGGTGTCATGTACTAATGTTTAGTGCACTATATTTAAATTGTAAGGCAGTGATTGACATTCTTCGGTACTTAGTGTTTTATTTTCCTGCACTTTGGTTATTTGCACCTCATTTCTTTTTTCAGAAAGTATGTGTCTTTTTGGTTTAAAACCGAAAAAACCGGAGTCAAACCGAACAAAACCGAACCGATTCAACCGTGGTTGGACAAAAAAGTATGAGCAAACCGAACCGAACCAAAGTTTTTAGTTTGATTCTACATTTGGTTTTAGGTCAAAACCGAACCGCATAAACCGAACCCACCCCTAGACCAAGCACCCTATCTGGCTGCTAAAGCCAGATAGAGAATCCTGATCTGTAAAATTCATGGGTGTTTGTGATTTTATTTGTATTACAAATCAGCCCACATGTGATCAAATTAAAGAGTAATAAACTTTAATGGGTCAAACTTAACAGCAATAAAATTAGAGACATTTAGGAACATTTGTTTTTGACTTATCAACCTTATCACCTTTCTTCTTCACCAAACACATAATTTTTTATTTCGCGCGTTGTATTATATAACAAAAAAGTAAGACCATAGTTACTTTTCTAGCTAAATTTACCGCATTTTGGTATACCTCCGCCCTGATGGACTTTAATTTGTTAATTCCAAATTAGATAAAAAAAAAAAGAAAAGTAATAGTTGTATGATTACGGTTTATGCAATGAGAGACAATTTTGAGTAGAACCACAAATTTGTTGGTTTAAATGGAAATAAAGTGACAAATTTCTTAGGAGAAGTAAAAAAGAAAAGTTGACAAAGTTAAATACAATGGGTGAATATTTTTTTTATTTTACTAATAGAATAGATTTTTAATATAGTTATATCATAATTCAACATATTCAGCTAATTCAGTCATTTTAGAACTTCATAAATTTCAGTACAATACCCATTCACTCAATTTCAATATACAGTCAACCCATTTAGACGAGAGTTTATCATAATACATAACCACTACTTTCTGTTACCGGTTTAGACTAGAATAGAAGAAACTATAATCAAACGTGCTTAATTAGACTAGATTGATTAACATAAATAACAATATGAATTCAATAACCCTTGCCAAACCAAACAGCCAAACTAGCGTTGATAAGTTCTCCATGTTCCATACACTTTTTATCAATACAAGAATAAATTGAAATGTAGTTTCACCAAGAAATAAATTCAAATTTACACAAAACAGATGGGTGGATACGTCACCTCCGAGTCTTTACTGAAATTCATAACAAAAAGGTGTCATTTCAAAGTGGGTTTGTGCGGGCCACGCATTTTTGTTTGAGTCTCGCTTCCTCCTCACGGGCGGGTTGCACTCTCATAAAATTGTCTGTATACAGATAATTTACTGGATTTTATGAAAAAAAATTAATTTTCATAGACAAAAATAAAGAATTGCCTACATCACAGACATTTTTTACGATAATTTTTCATAAAATGTAAACGAGATTTTTTTTATTTTTGTTTGTGTGAAAATCGTTTTTTTTTTTGCATAAAACGCCAGTCAAATTGTCTGTGTAGCCGATAAAATTGTCTGTACACAAACAATTTGATCGGTATATAACCCGGCGTGTAAAAACCGGTGTACAAAAAAAAAATCTTTGGGTAGTTTTAAGAAATAAAAGCAGATCTATATTAGTATTATGAAGCCTAAAGCATGTTACATGTGACGATTGAAAAGAGAGTATTTTCGTACATCTTTCAAGTAATACTTTCTGTTTTTCCCATTCACTTCTCTTTTATTATTGAAATGTTGTATCATTAATCTTTCTCATTCACCTCACTCTTGTTAGAAACAATATTAAAAGGATGATTGAGCAAAGGGAAGAATGTTTTATTAGAACAACTCAATTTTACTTGATTTGCTTCATACAAAATGATTGTAGGAGACACCTATATATACTACTACAAAATTATTTACACTATCCCTCGATCATTTAATTAATTCTACATAATTAACAATATGAAAATTCTAGAGACCTCACTTTTTAGAGAAGTTTGAGAATTTATTCCTTCTGCGTTTCTTTAGTCCTAAGGCCTTTTACAACAACCTGATATAAAGACTAGCTCAAAGTCTTATATAGTTTTTATTGTTCTATAGTTTTCCGGTGTGGGATAAATACTTTAAAATTTATCATTTTCTTATTAAAACACAATCATACACTTTCACTTTATTCATTCTCACATTCTTAATAAGCGTGTTAAGTCAAAACTAAAAGAATTTTTTTGGGGTGAATAGAGTATCATTTAGGCCCAAACCATTAACTAAAAAGCAAATTTAATTTTCAGCAACCCCTTAAACTTGTTTTTGTGACCCTCTCCGAGTAAAAGCCGTGTTATCCATAAGAAAGACAAATCTGGCGGATTACAATAACTCCCAACTAAGCTTTCGAACATTGTGAGATTTCACTTTTACTTCACTAAACTTAGATAATTTTACCTCACAATCCATCATTGCACAAATTGAATTGCAATCATTCATTTTAAATTTTTCAAGAATTTTGTATACATACCTTTCTTGACTGATGAAAAATTCATTTTCACTCGATTTCATTTGAAGTTCTAATTAATACTACGTAGGACATTAAATTCACATCGTTCATTTTCGAATTCTTGGCTCATTAACGTTTTAAAATACCCAAAGAAATTGGGACCATTTCTCTTGAATATTAAATCACCAACATAAATGCAAAAACAATCGAGATATCTCCAGTTTCTCCCTTTTTGCATAAGGAGCATGTTCATGGGGACACTTTTATTAAATTATTCACTTGAAAATATCTAGCAATTCTTGTATTCCAAACTCGTGGGGCTTGCTTTGAACTTAAAGTGTGTTTCTCAATTTTAGAAGTTTGTCTTCATTCCTTTTTATTTTATATCCCAATGTGCTCTAAATAAACTTCTTCTAACTTTCAATTTAAAAATTCTGACTTCACATTCATTTGGAAAATTTTTCATTTATTTTAAGCCGCCAATGGCACCAAATACTCCTTCATAATCAAAGAAGGCTATTTGATTTACCCTTTTACCAAAATGTGAACTCCTAATACTACGTACATAGCAATGATACTATTGGATATGGAGAAAACCCGAATAAAATCGAATGGAACTGAATATCTAACTCATAATATATCATTAATAATAACAATTTCAAATCAAAACATAATAGATTTTTGTCTAATAATTATTATTCTATCATATTCCAAACCGAAACGAAAATTGATAAAAATCGAAATCAAATACACATGTACATGTTATAATATTAATTATTATACTCCATATTTAGCAGGTTTCCTTCCTTAACTTATTCCCTTTTGAATCAGTTTATTTTCGAGCATATGTAGTATAAAATCAATATAGATGTTCATTGATCTATACAACCTATGCATATTAAATACTATGCATTCAATATAATACTGGCTTTACAAAATAAAATAAAGACTGAATTTGAAACATGTAGAAAACTTAAAACTACGTATAAGTAGTGAAATACGATTCCATTTTGTAACACGAAAATCAACTGATTCGGTTGATTTTGCTGAAATTTGTAAATTTCTGATTGAAGTTGTTGCATTGGCTGATTCTTCTAATTTAATGAAAAATTATTTTTAAAATATATTTTATTAATAAAATACTAGTAATGAAAAAATTATGTGTAACTTTAGTACTTCAGTCAATACAAAAAAAATAACTTTAATCTTATTTTTTCTTATCACTACGTATTACCTAATTTAACACACGAAAACAAAAGTTACGTGTTTGGTGAAAAAATTGACCGATAAAAACGTTACCAAACGACGTCCACGTATCTGTCAAACTTATTAGTACGTGAAAATGAAAAAAATGGGACTTAAGTAGTTGCTGAGAAACTAAAGAAGTAGACTAAACAAACTGACTCCCCTTTATTTTTTGCATTTCAATGTCAAGTCGTTGATAATCATTTTCTTAATCTGAGACTACCCACCAAACAACAACCTCCCCACATGATACAACCCTCCAAATGATTTAAAAAAAGGGTAATATCAGATTTTGGTACATCATCAATTTATTCAATTTGGTCTACCTTTTGGCGAGCATGTAATTATGTCTACCATTTAACTAATTAGCAAATCTACTTCATAAACTACTATATTTGTCAGTTGATTACACTTTAAGACCTCATTAACAATCTCTCTAATGGCAAATAAAACCACCATTATTGACCTACTAAAGTAACAATATTTCCAATCAAATCTGACAAGTTCTTAACATAATAATTGACCCGGAAAAGAACAAAGACGTTTTTCATTGAAACAGTTTGCCGGTAATGTGCTTAACCGGAACCGTTAAGCCATATATCCTGACTCCAATGGCAGCCTGAAGAAGCAGGAAAACTGGAAAAGATTTGATTTTTGATCAAATTAAAGGGAACTAAGGGTATAATTTACAAGTCAGGGCGATATTGAAGAACAAAGAAATAAAAATCGCTGTTTGCAGTTTTTTTCCGTCATTATCATCGAAGTTTAATGAACACTGCTACTCAGTTCAGAACAGTCAAAATGAAAGAGCTAAGAAAGAAACATTACTGGGTTTGCAATTTTCCTAAAGAGCTTTTTTTTTATTTGTTTTTAATTTTTATTCTCTGGTTTCATCGCCGGGAAACTCATCAGGAGGAGGAAGACGACCCATTAGCGGCAAGAGCGTCGCTGTTATGGAGACTGTAGTGATTTTGGCTGTCACTGTTGCTTTCTTGACGAAGGCTGAATCGGGCGGCGTGTGGGGCCGGGTCCAAATTGTGACAATTTATACCACCGATGTCAAATCCGTTCTCGTTGTTGGCGCCGGCGCCGGCAGACCCGCCGGAGCCGTCTCTCTTACCGACGGTGTTCTTGTTGTTATGCATCCAGACCTTTAAAACGCCCCTCTCCACTCCGATTTCGCGGCAGAAATGGTTGATGACGTCCTCGTCTCGTTTCTGGAACCTCCACCCCACCCTCTCGGCGAATTCCATCATCCTCTGTTTCTGATCTTGGGAGAATTTCGTTCTGAAGCGCTTTCTCCCCTTCAAATGCGCTGCCGGGACGGCAGAAGCAGAGTTCCCCGCGGCGGAGATGGGGGTAATGTTGTCTGTAGGGTGTCCGGCCGACAGGCCGGTACTGAGAGCGAGCAGCATCTGCGGCGCGGACGGGTAGTACGATGAAGAGATAGGCGGCGGAGATGACGAATTCGGGCTTCCGTTCTCGTGAGGCGGCGGCGGAGGCGGGTGGTGGCGGTGATGGGGTTGGTAATCCAGAGCGGGCAGGGCGCTGGGGAGCTGCAGCGGCTCCTCCGGCTCACGGCGGTGGAAATTCCGGTGGCACCCACAGGCGGCACATTTCAAGGAGGTAGGGTCGGCAGGAGTGGCGGTGGGGGAGGGCATGAACTCCCCGCAACCGTCGACGGCGTGACCACCGAGAGTGGCGGCGTGATTCTTGAGGCACTCCTTGTAAACCACCACCACGGCGTGGTGGCGGTGGAGGGAATTGTGGCGCTTGAGCACGCCGTTGCTGCTAAACGACAACGGCTTAACGGCGGCCGGGATCCGGGCAGCAGGCGGAGTTTCTTTTTCTTGAGGGACGGCGGCGGCCGCAGCTGCGGTGGCGGGATGATTGTTGCTTAAATCCATAATCTGCTAAACACCAAACAGTGGGTCTGAGCTTAATTAACAGCTAGCTAGCTGCGGGCCTTTGCTAGCTTTTGGTTTTTCTCTTTAAATTTGATGAAATACCAATAAATAAGTTTTGGTCTTTAAGAATCTGAGATTAGATTAAGGCTAAGAGTTCATGGGAAATGATGATAAAGAAAGGGAGGAGATGAAGGAAAGCTAAGGAAAGAAGAGTGAAGTTATTAAGAAATGGGGAATGGGGTTTTGTTTTGGAATAAAAAAAATTATGGCTGTGGAGTTGATGATGAAGATGATGGGTAGGGTGATGGGAGATGAATAATAATTAATTTAAATTACTTGATAATAATATAAAAATGTTGTTTTTCCTGGTGTCCTTCTTAACCATTTAATTAGTTTTTGTAATTTTATTTTTACCCTGGTTTGGTTCAGTTCCTAAATTAGTAGTACATGGTTATCCCATAGGCAGCTGCTGCATGGGGGCCCACATTACTGGGGTGTTTAGTGCTTCTGCCATCTGTTTAATAAATGAGGTAATTATTCATCGTCACAAATAGAGACTGCTTTAGCAGTCTCAGGCCCATTATTTAAGTTGAAACAGCTCAATTTTTTTAAGGACTCGTTTGGTAACTGTATTTTGGGATCAGTTAACATTTGTATCACTTGATTTTTTAGGCAGCAGTCGGGAGATGGAGTAAGGTGGGCAGTTAAATAGACATTTCAGGTAAAAGTTGGAACTTTAAGAGCCTATTTGATGTCCCTTTTTTAGACTTATCTTATCGGTACTGATGAAGTATATGGTCAGGGATCTCTGGCTCAGGGACCCCCGACTCACAGACTGCTACTTCTTCTACACAGGCCCACCAAGCCCAGTGAGCACTCGAAGCCCAGGCATGAACAAGTCCACGTTGCACATGTGTATGCCTTCAACCCTGTGGCCGAAGCCTCCAAATTCTGGAAGACAACTTGATATTGACCTGCTAAGCTTCTGAGAATTTCTGGGCAAAATGTTAGCCTTCGGCTATTCCACACCCTCGGCTGTATATAGCCTTCGGCGATATGTTGCCTTCGGTATTTTTACCATGCCTTCGGTCACACCTAGGTCTTCGGCATACAGCAGACTCGACGAAGATTCCTTTTAGAGACACACACCCGCCGCATTTAATGCTGCGTCACGTCCAACAATTGCATTTAATGCGGTGCATATGCGATTGTTGGTGCCACCTCGATTGAGGTGACCCTAGACCGTCAGATGTTTGACACGTGTCTCTGCCTAGCATTTATGGCTACTACAAATAGTGGCCGCTTTTCATTGTAATCCAACACAACTTACTATATTGAATACATACTCAATCTCTCTCTTACTTGCTCTAACCTCTCTCTAGGTTATTCCCCGCCATAACCCCTCGGATAAGTTACCCTCCGGGTACACTATCCATCATTTGGTGCTCTCGTTGAGAGGTCCGAACAATCAAGTAAGAAACCCTCCGCCTCACCAATCACAAAAATACCTATCAGAATGGGAAGAGCCACTCATGCCCAGTCCAAGACCCTTGAAGAAAAGAATCTGGGCCTCGGTGAAATCAACACCGCTGAAGCCTCAAACATAGTTCCTGAAGGCGGGGCATTTGCTGAAATGGAGCAGGTCGTTGCTGACCTCCGCCTTCAGCTCCAGAAGAACGCTCCTGATGCCCGCCTCGGCATCGAGACTCGAAGGAAGGACCGGAGCGAAAACCAAATGAGCCTCCCGGTCCTCATTATTGACGTGCAGTCGGCTTTTTCAGCCTTCATCCACACTCTCACTCACAATCTTGGCGACTTGGGGCACTTGTGCCGCCCCAGACACAAGTCGGGGAAAACGCCATCCCTTTTCCACCACCTCCGCCCCCCCACTCGTACGCCCGGTTCCAAGAACCGGAAACAACGAGGGGGTCGTGGCTCAGGACACCGCCTCCCAAGAAGCTCAGTCCCGGGACCAATGTGGTGCAAACAAAGATAGGCCCCGGACATCTACCCTTGAGAGGCTCGGAGGAGTGCAAGACTGCCGAGGGGTCCAAGACCACCTCGGTAGTAAGGCATTCCAAAGACCTGTAAAAAGCGGAGGATCCGTCTAGAGGGTAAAAGAGAGGCGTCCCCGCGGGACAAGGCTAAGGGACTGCTCCATGCTGATGACGCTAGGCACCAAATCAACCAATCTCACTCCGCCCGCGCACAATCGCAGGGGGCGGAGGCCCCCTTGAAGGACCCCAGGGATGAGATTATTGAGGCCCTCCAGCGTCGCCTCGACGAGACGGAGGCCCGTCAGGCGCAAACGACGACTTTGGCTTCACAGCCGGACCCCAAATACGCCGCCATGCTGGCCAAGGTGGACGAGATGCAGAGGAAACTGGCCGAGGGCTCCGGGGAACTAGTCATCCAGCTTCGCACGAAGACGTCTTTCACCCCGAGGGTATTGGCAGCTCAGATCCCTGGTAAGTATCGGGGACAACCCATAAAGCCTTATGAGGGGAAGACGGATCCCCAGGAACACTATAGCAAGTACGAAAACAGCATGATGATGGGGGCGTCAGACGAATATTTGTGCCACTGGTTCCTTTACACCCTGGAAGGACCGGCGTACGAATGGTTCAACCAACTGCCCGAGGGAAGCATTCACTCATTGCAAGAACTCGCCCAACATTTCTTGACACAATTTGCGGGAAGGCACCAGTCAAGGAAACACTTCTCCCACTTACTGAAGGTAAGGCAACAGAAGGAGGAAACCCTCCGGGATTTCTTGGAACGCTGGAGGCTGGAGACGGATAAGGTCGATGGCGCCGACGACGGGACTTTTATGGCTCTCCTACAGACGATTCTCCGCACCGGGAACTTCTCAAGTAGCCTCATCATCGAACCCCCTCGCAGCTATATAAGGGACCTCCAGCGGGGAGACCGGTACGCAGAGGCCGAAGAGGTGGAAAAGTGCCACCAGAACCCCGAGCAGCAACGTCCTAGGGCTGATGACAAGAACCACCGGGGGCCAGAGCTCCATTCCACCAATCCAAAGGTCCAGCCCCCTCAGGTGATCGCCCCCAGCATGGCCAAGCCAAGTCCGGGGGAGGTTACAAGAAAACCCCAAAGGCCTGGGCCCAACCCGTTCTTCTAGAGCACCCTCGGACCCCCCCTGACGCCCCCCATCAGCGTCATTCTAGACTATGCCGAGGAGAGGGGCTAGTGGAGAGAGATTCTAGGGCGCCCCGGGAGGTCTACGCCATCAACCCTGAGGAACCCTACTACCGTTTCCACAGGCACCCAGGCCACGAACCGATGACTGCCACCAGCTGAAGGCAGTCATCAAGAAGTTGATAGAACGGGGCCACCTATCCCAATTCATAAGGGGGTACCCTCATCAAGCCCCCCTATGCAAAAGCAAACGTCTGGGTTAATCCAAACACCATCCCCCTCGGCGACCTGAAGGGTAAGAAAGGGAGATTGACAACCTCAGCGAGGAAGACGGGTACAACCAGTGCCAAGAAAAGAAGCGCCACATCCACATGATCACCGGCGGCAACACGGGAGGAAACTCCACCAGCCAAAGAAAAAAGTGGGTGCAATCCCTTTACGTAGGGAGAGTCACTCTTATGCCCCCCCGTAAATTGGTTGAGCGAGGAGTCCATTATACACCAACGCCGATCTCCCCCCAGGTTCCTTCCCTCACATGGACGCGTTAATGATCCAGAGTGAGATCAATAACACCATTGTTCACACAACTTACGTTGACAAAGGCAGTTCCGTCAACGTAATGTACCTCAGTACGTCCAAGTAGCCGCATTTGGAGAGGGGATCCCTTCGGCCCATCCGAACCCCTATGTCTGGGTTCACTGGAAACACCATAGATTCCGAGGGGGTAATATCCCTCCCGGTACTCTTTGGCACCGGGCTCCATAGAGCCACACTCGAAGTAGAGTTCGTCGTCGTCAACATCGACTGCGCCCACAACATCATCCTCGGTCGACCTACCCTCGAGAACCTGGAGGCAATCATCTACATGAAGCACCTGTACCTTAAGTTCCCAACCGAGGGGGAAGTTGGGTACTAGAAGCTCTCACGCGCCTGCCACTTCCAGATAACAAAAAAGGTTAGTAAGGCTGAGTTCCGTGTAGACACCATCGCCGGAACAGTAGAAGAAGAATAGAAGAGGCCAAGGGCGGAACCAGCCGAAGAAGTGGAAGACTTTGCGCTCGACACGGCCAAGCCGGAGAGAGTCGTAAAGATTGGAGCCAAGCTCCCCGAAGACTTGAAGACTAGAATTTCGGAGGCCCTCCTCGCCTACTCCATTGTTTTTGCATGGGGGGCGGAGGACATGCCTAGAATTAGCCGAAGGGTAATCACTCATCGCCTCGCGGTGGACCTTTCCTCGAAACCTGTGCAACAGAGAAGAAGGCCCCTCTCACTCAAACACATCCGGGAGGTGAAATACCCTTCGTGGTTGGCTAACGTGGTCCTTGCACAAAAACCACCCACCTTTCGCATGTGCGTGGATTACACAGACCCAAATAAGGCATGCCCTATGGATCCCTTCCCTCTGCCTAACATTGACCATCTTGTGGATGAAACAGCGGGCTATGAAATCATGTCATTCCTCGATGCCTTCCAAGGGTTTCACCAAATCTACATGCACGAGGAAGACGCGGAGAAAACAGCCTATATTACTCCAGAAGACATCTTCTGCTATCTAGTTATGACTTTCGGCTTAAAGAATTCAGGCGCCACTTACACCCGGATGGTGGCCAGAGTCTTTTAGGCCGTCCTAGGATGCACCATGGAGGCTTACGTCGACGACATGATCGTCAAGAGCAAGCAGTCAACCAGCCATGCCGAGGACCTCCGGGAAATTTTTGCCATCATGCAAAAGTTCAACCTTCGGTTGAACCCGAAGAAATGCACCTTCGGCGTACAAGAAAGCAAGTTTTTGGGCTATATGGTTAGACGAAGGGTATTGAGGCCAACCCTGAGAAAATCCAGGCCATCATTAACATGGAGCCTCCATGCAATGTGAAGGAAGTACAGAGGCTGACAGGCCGATTGGCGGCCCTCAATCGCTTCCTGTCAAAATCAACGGAAAAATCCCTCCCCTTCTTTCAGATTATGAGGAAGACCGCCGACTCCCAATGGACAAAGGAGTGTCAGGTAGCCTACGACAAGTTGAAGGAGTATTTACAATCTCCCCCGATGCTCTCCAAGCCCAAGGCTGGAGACACATTATATCTCTACCTGGGCGTCATTCCCGCGGCCATCAGCTCGGTTCTGA